ATAACAAATATCCTAATAAAGGTCATTTCCACACCCACATCCCTTCCAGAAATACCAGAAACCCCCAAAAATATGTCACCATCAGCTTCAGCTCCACAAAAATCGAGAAACTGAGCCAGGAGTAAAAAAAATCATTAAAAAATGGGAATTTTGAGCATTTAGGAGGTTTGGATCCAAGTGGGGAGAAGCTGTTGGGTACCTGTTGCAGAAATAAACGGCGTTGGCTGGGTTTAATTCGATGGCTTTTCCATAAAAAGACACAGCAGCCTCGAAGTTTTCTGCCTTCATTTGGTCGTTCCCTGCAAGGAAAATTGGGAAAGGTTTATTAGGGAAAAAAAAATAAAAAATCCAGGGATAAAGTGAAGAATCAGGATCTGTGAAAATAGCMTGGGGAATTGCAGCATTCCCGGAAATTCTGAAAAAATATCCCAAAAATCATCCCAGGGTGCTGCCTTAGGGGAAAATGTTTTATCCACACTCATCATACTGAAAATTAAAAAAAAACCCAACTATGCACAGAGCAGAATGGATGGATGCTCTGCTCCACACCCCACGGGTTTTTTAGGGTTAAAAAAAAATCCCACTGACCCAGAATTCCCAGGCTCTGGGGCAGCAAAACCTCCCCACACTCGGAGCACAAGAGGCAGAAATGGAAAATATTTCTTTTTTTTTCCCCCCTCCACTCTAATTAACTCCAAAGTTATCAGCAGTCAAAATTAACTCCAAAGTTCTCAAAAGGAAAAAATAACTCCAAAGTTCTCAGCAGTCAAAATTAACTCCAAACTTCCTAAAAGGAAAAAATTAACTCCAAACTTCCTAAAAGGAAAAATTAACTCCAAACTTCCCAAAAGGAAAAATTAACTCCAAACTTCCCAAAAGGCAAAATTAAATCCAAAGTTCTCAGCGGTCAAAATTAATTTTTCCTTTTGGGAAGTTTGGAGTTACCTCCGAAGTTCTCAGCAGTCAAAATCAACTCCAAACTTCCCAAAAGGAAAAAATCAACTCCAAACTTCCCAAAATGAAAAACTAACTCCAAACTTCCTAAAAGGCAAAGTTAACTTCAAACTTTCCAAAAGGAAAAATGAACTTCAAACTTCCCAAAGGAAAAATTAACTCCAAACTTCCCAAAAGGAAAATTAACTCCAAAATTCTCAGCAGTCAAAATTAACGCCAAACTTCCTGAAAGGAAAAATTAATTCCAAACTTCCCAAAGGAAAAATTAACTCCAAAGGAATTAAGGATTCCCTCCCAATACCCACCAAACCCATCCCGGGGTTGGTACCTTCAGTTTTGAGCCTTTCAGCTTCGGCCACGTCGTCTTCTGAGGGTGTGACAGGGTCTGAGTTTGTTCTGGAATGTTCCAGCTCCTTCCRAGGAGAGGGAGAAGCTGAGGTGAGGATTCCCATGGAGCTGTCCCGTATTTCCCGCTTTTCCARCCCAAAATATCCCCCCTTTCCAGGCTCCTGGGAATCCAGCAGAGTTTGGAGGAAAGGAAATTTCAGAGAATTTGCTCACCTTCCCTGCCACAGCTTCAAATATTTCGGGAAGGGTCTGGGACACGGCCAGGCTTTGGTCTTCCATGGAGACCCCAAACGCTGTTTCCAGGCACTGGATGGCCACTGGGCAGGGAAAATCAGATCATTAATTTATAAAATTCATCCCTCTCCGTCATTTCCCAAAAAAATAGGAAAAAAAACAAACCCAAACCGGAGTGGATTTTAGGGCCGGAGCCTCAAATTTTGCCAAAATCCCGAGGGCAAAGCTTCCCTTTGGTTTTCTGGATGAAGCCAATCCCAATTCCAGCCCTGTCAGGGATTTCTGAGGGGTAAAAGTGAATCAGAATGGGGCAGAACCCATAGCTGGGAATGGGGAAATTCAAGAGCATCCCACAAATTTCCCTTGAGCAGAGGTGTGGGGACCCCCGAGCCACCTCTTCCTCCTGTCCTGAGGAAGCTGCTCCCAAAGAAAAGCTTCCCAGAGCTTTTAAATCCCAAAATTTGAAAATTTTAAATTCCAAAAACACCGGGAATAACCAGATCCTGGCACTCAACCCCCCACCTCACAGCTTTTCACCGGGACAAACGCATGAGGGTTAAACCTTAAGCTCCTTATAGAGAATTTTTAAAATCTCTGTGCTCTCCCTGCCCTATGGAAAAACCTGGAAAAGCACTGAGGGACAGAATTTTGGGGAGCAGAAGATGAAAAACAACCCCAAAAGCATAAAATGGTTTTCTGGAGTCAGGAAATTCCCATCTCAGGCCCCACAGGACTCGGGATCCCGATTCCAGCTCGCCCCAGAAAAACCCCGTAAGTCTCCAAGCCGGGATCAGGGAGGCTTTTGACCCCAGGTACATCCCTGCCTCGAGTTAATCTGCTCTTGGARGAGATCAGAAGGCAGACAAGTCACCAGCATCCCTGGATACCCCCCAAAAAATTAACTTCRAACTTCCCAAAARGCAAAATTAAYTTWRA